GGGGGGGGGGGGGTTGTTGTTGTTGACGGCAGGTACATAAAGAGGTAGTGATGAATCAGGCAAAGAGATGACCCGACCCGTATCTTGGCATGGCAACCCGGTATGGCCTGCGGTTGAGATTTCTGTCTCACATATACAACTGGTGTTTTGCAGCCATGTCGTGGCTGGCTTCTCTTTTGCCTTATCATAACACACATCCGAGCCCCATGCACTGAAAAGAAAAAAAACTTTTCTGTGATTTGGATTTACAGGAAAATAGCAAAAAACTCATTAGTTTAAGTCATAGGTTGCGGTGAATGCAGAGAGCTGTAGGGAATTTCATTGGGTGGTTTTGCTGCTCTAAATCAATTCTCCGCCGCCAATGATCACTCAAATGTGCAATTGCAAAACCACCCGTTTGCTTTAAATACGTACTACTCCCTTCGTTTCAATTTATGCAACGCGATGAGGCTATGAAGGTTTTATTCTGTTGCGGAAGATGAATCAGATATATAAATCTTTTGAGCTTGGAATTTTTTTTTAATCTTGGCGTGGCAGCTCAGATAGGTCTGTGAGATATTGGAGAAAAATCCATTTTTGTGTTTTTTTTTTTTTCCTGTTTCATAATACTAACTGATGTTTGCAGCCATGGCGGTCTTTTTCCGAAGCTTTTTGGGTTTTTGTCTGAGCAAAGGCGAATCTGAGCCTACCCCATTATCTGGATTAAACGTGCTGGGATGATAAATACTACTTCTAAGGTGGCTTAAAGAAATGAGGCAAAACAGATGGGATTTTCTTTAAAGGGTGATTGCCCCTCTCTGTTCTGCTGTTGATTTTCCTCTATTAAGAAAATAACAACAGCTCTTGACATGGAAAAAGAAGAAACAAGAACTGGAAGTGTAATTAAACTATACTGCTCTCCCCACACTACTACATATCTGTCTTTCCTCTGGTGTGAGTGTTTTTTTTTTTTTTTTTTTTTTTTTTTTTTTTTTTTTTTTTTTTGGGTGTTGATGGAAGGTACAAAGAGAGGCTGTGATGATGATGTTTCTATATCTGGGATAACCAATTTGGGCGTGGAGATTATCCAGCCCGTATCTTGGCTTGGCAACCCAACATGGCTTGTGACTGAGATTTCTTTCTCTCACATGCAATTGGTGTTTGCAGCCATGGCGTGGCTGGATTCTCTTTAGCTTTATCTTAACACGCATCTGAGCCTTTTTCTTTATTTGGTATGATAATGACATGGGTTGAGCTTAAATGGAGGAACATGGTTAGTGGCGATTCATATAGCGGATCCCAACTTCTGGGAATCAAGCTCAGGTCTTTTGAGTGAGCCAAATATCCTAACTGACTATACTACAACGGAAATGTAACTACAAGATAATTACAGCATTGAAGGAGGCTTATAATTCCTCTACACATGGAATTTTAAAGAGGCCCACCTCGTGGCATGGCAACCCGATTTCGTTGGTGCCTTAAAGTGTCAGATGCAACTTGGGTTGCAGCCATGGCTGTTCAGCTCATTGGCTCTTGCCTGAGTACGTATCCGAGCCTTAGCTTTCTTCATATTCTAGGTAGTGTTTTCCATAGCTCTCAGGTGTGCAGTGGTAAATTGAGCCTTTGAAACATCCTACAAATTCTGTTTAAGTTAAGGAGGAAATGTATTTGTACTCTTGATATCAAGTATGCTTGATAGTATTGCTTATCAGTCAAGGATTAAACTTGCTTGGAGTTGACTTTAATCACCAAAAGGTTAATAAAAAATCTGTGTAAGTTCACCGTGGGGCCACCAAAGTGGCTAACGGCATCATATAAACATCTTTGAGATGTTTTTCTGACTGTAGGGGTAATATTATTCTCCTTAATTTTGACAGATATTCTAAAGAGGTGTGGGGCTACATAGAGATGAGAAGTTCTAAGGGTGCAAATGATGGTAACAATACAAACTTAACAGCCCTTTTGATTTTACATGTCTGCTCTCCGATAAATTATAAATTGGGATTAAAAAATTATAGAGCACTTGTTAGAACTATTGTTTTACCTATTCTTCTACTTCGTTAACTTTAGATTTATGCACAGGCTGTGATGATGATAGTGTCTGTTATGAACCCACAGGAGATACTAGAGGGTACTAGACGCAGTGCACGTGCCATACACCCTCCCAAATATTTGGAGAATTTCGTGGTCCCCAATCTAAAGAAATGACAAGGTCTGTAAAATCTGTTAGAGGTAGTGGAGGATTCGCAAGTTACCATCTGATGCAACTTATGCTTCTATAAATATCCAGCAAGGCTAGAATGATAGGATTATGTATGAAATTGAGTATTTTCTTTTTTGGCTAGTTTTGTCTGGAACCCTTCCCCATTTCTTTACTGTTTCATTGACATTTTTCAGTGTATTTTCCTAGTCCAGTTCTTAGATCCTTCACGGTAATTGTATTTTGAGTTCAATCAACACAAGTTCATACCAATTTGGTGCTCTCGTTGACCCTCTCCTTCCACTGACAATGGGTGACGGACCTCCGACGACTCGCCTGAAAACTTTGGATGACTCCATGAAATTGGTTCATGACCAGCTTGCTACCCATGCCCAAAATTTTGAGAACATTAATGCTACCCTGCAGGTTCAACAGTCCCTGTTTCAAGATATCTCGACCCAACTTGCTCAGATGCAAAACCAGCCTAAAAACCAAACCACCCCACAAAATACCCTACAGTTAAACCAAAACCCGCTGGGCTCNCTTGGACACCCGGTGCAAATCAAAAAAAAAAAACCCGCTGGGCTCTTTTCGCAGAGATAAACCGGCCACCATAGACCTGCCACAATTTGATGGTTCCGACGCTGTGAGTTGGATTTTTCAAGCCAATCGATATTTTGACTTTTACAACGTCTCTGCTGAAAATCGTCTTAGTATCTGTCCGTTCTATTTGGAGGGTGACGCTAGAGATTGGTATCAATGGATGTACAACAATCACCAACTCTTCAGTTGGGAACACTTTTCCAAGGCCCTTGTGATTCGATTCGGTTCTAAATCGATTGAATCACCGGAGAGTTTATTAGCTAAACTACAGATGACTTCTTCAGTGACCGAGTATCTCACTCGTTTTGAAAAGCTTGCTAATCAGACGACCCAAGTTTAACCGGGGTTGTTGTTACACTTGTTTACATCCGGCCTGCGACAAGATATCAAAACTGACGTGCTATCGTTTAGGCCAATGGACTTTCATGATGCTATTGGGCTGGCCTTTCTACAAGAACAAAAGATATTTGGCTCTGTTAATTCAATAACTTCGACCCGGCCCAATCAGACTGGTAAGTCTATCTTTTACCCTTCAACGCAGTTGTCTTCGTCACTTCCAAAGACTTCTGCACCAGTTTCTTCAATTCCCTCTCCATCAGTTACGCCCTCAGCCGCCCTTCCTGGTGTGGGTCGCGTACCTTTTAAGAAGCTAACCCCAGCTGAGCTGCAGCGTAAAAGAGATCTCAATCTCTGCTTTAATTGTGATGCTAAATGGCACAGAAACCACAAATGTTCTTCTACACCACAACTTTTACTGCTTTTGGCTGATGATGACTCCACGATTGAGGACCTTCCTTCAGAGTCCTTTGATACACCCTCTAATACACCATCAGTGGTGGTGCCTCCCCAAGCTCCACCCGATGATACCACAGTTCCCACTATTAACTATCTAGCTTTGTCAGGAGGCTCGACTCCGGCTTCACTACGCTTTACTGGCCAAATCAAAGGGTTTGATGGTCAGGTGTTTATCGACGGAGGTAGCACTCATAATTTCATTCACCCTCGTATTGCTAAATTTCTAAAATTGCCAGTTGAAAGTTCCTCCAAATTCTCTGTTATGGTCGGCAATGGCAACCTCCTACCATGTCAAGGTGTGGTTCGTCAGTTGTCCGTCAGTGTTCAAGGGTTTTCATTTGCCACAGATTTCTTTGTTATAGATTTCCATGGGTCGGATCTAGTTTTGGGTATTATTTGGTTAGCTACTTTGGGTCCAACAATAACAGACTATGCCAAACGCACATTTCAATTTGAGGCCGAAAATCGAGTAATTTGTTGGACAGGTTCTGACCCACCTTTGGAGCAAGTCCAGTTATCTTCACTACGCCGTCTTTCTGAAACCGAATCCATTGCCTGCCTCTTTCACCTTGAACTCCTTCCCATAACACCACCTCCTGTATCAGATCATCCATCAGATCTTTCTACTCTTCTTGACTCTTTTTCTGATGTTTTTGCTAAAGCCTCGGCTCTCCCACCTACACGTCCACAAGATCACCGTATTCCTTTAATTCCTGGCTCCACCCCTATTAACGTTCGACCATACCATTACCCTCATTTCCAAAAGGCTGAAATTGAGAAATTGGTTTCTGAAATGCTGCAATCGGGCATTATCCGCCCTAGCTCAAGCCCATACTCTTCCCCTGTTCTTTTGGTTCGGAAGAAGGATGGTACATGGCACTTTTGTGTTGATTACCGGGCTTTGAACTCTATTATTATCAAAGATCGCTTTCCAATTCCTACAATTGATGAACTCTTTGATGAGTTACTGGGTGCTCGCTTCTTTTCTAAGTTGGATTTGTTGGCAGGATATCACCAAATTCGTGTACACCCTGCTGATATCGAGAAAACTGCTTTTCGGACACACGAAGGTCACTATGAGTTCATCGTCATGCCGCTCGGCCTATCCAATGCCCCCTCTACTTTTCAGGCCACCATGAACTCTATTTTTAAGCCCTTCCTTCGTCGTTTTGTCCTAGTTTTCTTCGATGATATTTTGGTCTACAGTCACTCTTGGCTAGACCACCTTGATCATTTGTCCCAAGTTTTTGACCTTCTTCGCCAGAACTCACTGGTTGTCAAACGTTCAAAATGCCAATTTGGACAAACTTCCATTGACTACCTCGGCCATATAATTTCTTCCAAGGGCTTACAGGTTGATCCTGCAAAAATTCAGGCCATTGAATCCTGGCCTCCTCCTTCTTCGTCAAAGATGTACGGGGTTTCTTGGGGCTCACAGGCTATTATCGCCGCTTTGTCAAAAGCTATGCTCAACTGGCTTCCCCATTAACTGATCTTTTAAAGAAGGATGCTTTCAAATGGTCCGACTTGGAATCTAAATCTTTCTTGCAATTGAAGCATGCTTTAAGCACAGTCCCTGTTCTTTGCCTTCCCAACTTTACCAAAGCTTTCTCTGTGGAAACTGATGCATCCGGTTGTGGAATTGGTGCTGTTCTCTCACAAGATGGCCATCCTATAGCATTCTTTAGCCAAAAACTTTCTCCAAGGATGCAAGTTGTCTCGACATACCATCGTGAAATGTTTGCCATCACTCAGGCAGTCCAGAAATGGCGGCAATATTTGTTGGGTCGTAAGTTTTTAATCATCACTGATCAGCAGCCTCTTCGAGCTCTTACCAATCAGGTTATTCAAACCCCCGAGCAGCAACGTTGGCTAAGCAAGCTTATAGGCTATGATTTTGACATAATATATCGTCCTGGAAAACTTAATTCTGCTGCAGATGCTCTCTCACGTGTGCCTGATTTACAATCTCTCACGATGGCTGTTACTGAGTTTGCACTGATTGAGAAATTGAGGCAATTGAATACTTCTGATCCTGATCTACTTCGTCTCCAGCAACAGCTTATTGAAGATTCCAGTTCCCTTCCCAATTTTACATTTCAGGAGGGTCTTTTACTATATCGAAATAGGCTTGTGATTCCAAAAGATGATGCGCTGCGTCAGTCACTTTTACATGAGTTCCATGCTTCCAAAATAGGGGGTCATGCAGGCATTTCCCGAACATTTCACAGGCTCTCCTCTAACTTCTTTTGGTCGGGTATGAGTTCAGATGTCAAGACCTTCGTCCAAGCATGCCAAATTTGTCAGCAGATGAAAGATTCAGCCTTAAAACCTGCTGGTCTTCTCCAGCCAATTCCACTTCCTTCTGCAATTTTTGAAGAAATCTCAATGGATTTCATCACTGGTTTACCCTCGTCTATTGGACAGACTGCCATCCTAGTAATTGTGGNCTGGTTTACCCTCGTCTAGTGGACGGACTGCCATCCTAGTAATTGTGGACAGACTCTCTAAATATGGGCATTTTATTGGTCTTCCACCCAATTTTACTAGTCAAAAAGTTGCTGAACTTTTTATTCTGGAGTTCATTCGCTTACATGGTTTTCCTATCAAGATCATTACTGATCGTGATCCTATCTTTTTATCTGAATTCTGGCAAGAAGTTAACAGATTGCAGGGTACCCAATTGGCTAAAAGTTCTGCCTACCACCCTCAATCCGATGGCCAAACAGAAGCACTCAACAAATGTTTAGAGATGTACCTCCGTTGCTTCACTGCTAATACTCCTGCCGCTTGGTTCAAACTTCTTCCCTGGGCAGAGTTCTGGTACAATACTTCATTTCAGACAAGTTCTAAACTCACTCCATTTGAAGTTGTTTACGGCAGACCTCCTCCAACGATTTCAAGGTTCCTTGTTGATAGTTCCTCCAACCATACTGTGATTGAAACCTTTAAGCAACGAGATGAAACATTAGCTATTTTGAAAGCTAATCTAAAACAAGCTCAGGATCGAATGAAAGCTTTAGCTGACAAAGGAAGACGCGATATTGTTTTTAATGTGGGTGACTGGGTTTATGTTCGCCTCAGACCTTATCGACAGCTTTCCATGCGTTTACAACGCTACAACAAACTAAGTCGTCGATATTTTGGTCGCTTCCAGATCACTCAAAGAATTGGAGAGGTTGCCTACAAATTGGACTTGCCTGCCTCTTCGAGAATTCACCCTGTCTTCCATGTCTCAGTTTTGCGCAAATGTATCGGCAAACCTGCTCAACAGATAACCCCAATTGATCTTTTGGATCAATCTACTTCCCTGTTGCTCCAGCCTGAATATGTCTTGCAACATCGCCCACTATCTTTAGGGGTGGCCATCAAATTGACCAATGCTTAGTTCAATGGACTGGATTGCCTAAATCAGATGCTACCTGGGAAGATAAGTTGATTCTACTTCAAAAGTTCCCTAACTTGAACCTTGAGGACATGGTTCGTCTCCATGGGGATGGCAATGTTATGAACCCACAGGAGATACTAGAGGGTACTAGACGCAGTGCACGTGCCATACACCCTCCCAAATATTTGGAGAATTTCGTGGTCCCCAATCTAAAGAAATGACAAGGTCTGCAAAATCTGTTAGAGATAGTGGAGGATTCGCAAGTTACCATCTGATGCAACTTATGCTTCTATAAATATCCAGCAAGGCTAGAATGATAGGATTATGTATGAACTTGAGTATTTTCTTTTTTGGCTAGTTTTGTCTGGAACCCTTCCCCATTTCTTTACTGTTTCATTGCCATTTTTCAGTGTATTTTCCTAGTCCAGTTCTTAGATCCTTCACGGTAATTGTATTTTGAGTGCAATCAACACAAGTTCATACCAGTGTCCTTTTTATCAAGTCTAGGATTTGACAGAACAAGTTTCTTGGCTGGCCAATCTATATGGTATTGGGCATTTCCGCTAAAAGTTCTATTGTTGATTTAGCCCGGAAAATGGCGAGAATGAGGCAACAGAGAGTATGGGATTTCTTTCAAGGGTGGTCGCCCCTCTCTGCTTTGTCTATGATTCTCCCCCTCTTCAACAAACCAACAGCTCCTAAGAGAAAGAAAGAGAAACATAGCACTTCAGTTACTGGTTTGCTGGATGATTATATGTGAAATTCCCCGACATACAAGTATACTATGACAATTACACGGCCTTCAGATCTTCAGTCTTTCTGCTCATGGCCCTTTGCGTTTTCTTCTAGTTTGCTCTCAGTGTCTCATTGTTTGTGGAGACTTGAAGATGTTCCATTATGTAGCCTCAGCAAAAAGCTACACAACAAAAAATATGGAGAAGAAACTATAATGAGGCGATAAAAAAGACCTCAATTGCCCCTTAAGTTCAGCGGTAGGTCTATAATGGGGCCGCGATGAATGATTTTTCCTAGTTTGATGGAATCAAGAGTTAATAGGCCGTATCTTGGCGGGGCAGCCTGGTAACGGGATTTGCAGTCACGGCGGTGCTTGAAATGGAATACAGATCTGAGCCTCAATATACTTATAAAAAAAAACTTTTTTCCTGGTTCAAGAATATGATTTAGCCTTCGGCCTTCAGGTTACAAATTAGAAGAAAAAGAATTCTTCACCCCTAACGTTTCACCAAGCCTGTTGTTGAAGTTCCTGCATGGCTGTGTTTTCAACACATCGAAACCTTGATAGCAATGGATATTGCATCAGTCTGGAACATGGGAAAATTTGTTTCAACTTCTGGGAATCGAACTCGGGTCTCTTGAGTGAGATCCAGATATCCTAGCTGACTAGACTACAACCGGAAAAGGAGCACATAATAATTACAGAATTGAAAGAGGCTGTGATGATAATTAATGTACACAAGGAAATGGGGATTGAGTTAAAGAGGCTCGCCTCTTGGCGAGGTAAGCCGATTTTGAAGGTGCCTTGAGGCCTCGATGCAAGCTTGGGTTGCAGTCATGGCGATTCTGCTCATGACCTCGTGCTAGAGTACATATCTGAGCCTTCTTCTTATTTTAGATTGTGTTGACCTTCTTGGCTCTCAGGGTACAGTGGTAAATTAAGCCTTGAAACATCCGATCAAACAGATTCTGTTTAAATTAAGCTGGAAATGTGTTTTACTCTTGAAAAAGTATGCTTTATAGTATGCCTTATCTATGAAGGACTAAACTGGCTTGAAGTTGACTAACAGGCTAGTCGAAGCTGGAAGTTCTCTGTGGCGCCACAGAAGTGATGAACGTATCAATTAGACAACTTTGAGTTGCGTTCTTATTGTTCGGGCAATGTTATTCCCCTTAATTGTGATAGTATTCTATGTAGGTATTGCTTAAAAAAATTATAGAGTACTTGTTAGAACTATCGTTTTACCTGCTCTTCTATTTTGTTAAATTGAGATCTATGCACAGGCTGTAGTATGTCCTTTTAATCAGGTCTTGGATTTAACTGTACAAGTTTCTTGGCTGGCCAATCTGTATGATACTGTATTTGCAGCCATAGCATTGTCTCTGTCTTTCTTTGCCTGATCATATGGGGGATCTAAGCCTTACCCACTTGAAATCACTTGCTCTGTTTGTCTGTACGTTCAGCTTTTCTGCTTTTATGAAAGAGATCATGAGGACAAAAGACTGTAGTATACTGATCAATATGGTAGCGCTTAGCCATGCCCAATTGCCGATACTTGTTCCAAAAGTCAGGCACAACCGCACAACAGAAGAACTTGTCTTCGAAATTTCTTATGACTTGCAGCTAGGTCATATCAGAGGAATAAAAAGAGGTTTACTTGACTGGCTCTCTTTATTTGAGAAGCTTTGCTGTGTTTTCTCTTAAATATCTCTTTTTGAAATGGATGTACCAATAGGGAGCCTAAGAAAGGGGTTTGAACCCTCCAATTCGTTACGCAATCGACCATAGATCAATTCCCTCTTTGTTTAAACAACATTGGTGCACGGACCAATTTATGCACACCTTGGCTAATCTACTGGATACTTGTTACCTTACACCATGCATGTAATGTTGCCCATCAATGTTTAGATAGATAAGAAAAAACCACCTAGTTATTTGTCTTTGTTGCGATTTGAATCCTGATTTTTCATACTTTTCCAGCTTCATTTGGCCGCTATAACACACCCTTCTTTGCATGTCTATGTTTTGGATGCTTTGCACCCTTTGAGGCCATGTTTCTATATGCTGTGCAATAACTTGCGTAGCATTCGATCTGATAAATAAAAGTTTTGTCAGGGTAGAGGGAGCGCGGTTATGGATTCGATGACCTGCATGAGCAGATATAGTCAACTTGGTCTCTAGTTCACAACTGTTTGTTGAATCGGAGCAGGAGTAATGCGTCATCAGAGGTCTTATTGTCATATGGTTTTTGCTTCTCTGCTGAGCAAACAAAATCAATAGCCCATCCAATGGTAATTTTAATTTTTAATCCCCTATTGTGGATTGAATTAACTGTGTACTGGTAGGTCCATTACTATGATGTATCTGCTGTGTTTATGCAGACCTCCTCTTGAAGGTTGCACTCCTCGTAAGCCCATTCCACAATTCTCTAAATCGACCCCCCTATAGCTAGACTTGTGATATCTTGTTGAGCATTTTCCCTTGAATTCTAGTAAAGCTTGGCATTTGCGGTTATGGTATCGGAAGTTCCTTTAAGCAGTGTTCAGGCATAACATATACAACAACCAAATTTGTACGGGAAAAAGCAAATGGAGGTTGCAGTACCGGATTTATCTTGTGCTCTTATATTTGGGATTTGTTGCAAGTCTTCTACTAGATTAAATTCCCATGCTCCAGGTGGTTCAAACTTAATATTCTGATTATTCAAGGATCATTTTAATTACCTGTTTTTCCATATCCCTAAATAAGTGTTCAAAAATGTGTTTTGGGATATTTATATCGAAGTATGTGTTGAAGATTCAAGGGGATGCTTTTTGTGGTGTTTTTCCATGGGTTTCAAGTAGCTTGACAACAGGGAATTTGACAAGATTGGTGGCCCTTTCTCTGCTATGTTTATTTCCTTTTCTGAGCAGAAGAAACCAACAGGCCTTCTTTTGGCTGTAGGCTGTGATGATCTCTAATCTTCAATTCGCCAAAACCCCGTAGAAGGCTGTGATCATCTTTCTTTTCTTGTTTTCAATTTCTCCAAGCTGACTTGTTTGGACTGAGGTGTAGTTGTATATTCTGAGAAAGTTCTTAGGGACAATAGCAAAATCTTATTTGCTTACTGGCGATTGAACGCAATGACGTGCTGAAGTTGTTTGGCATGCCTAAGTTATTTTTTTTAATCTCGTTTCATAGTTTTAGCTGATTTGGGTGGCTTATATGGGTTCTATATATCTCCGCGCATACACTCGTACAATTTTCACTTCGATGTTAGTTGGCTCATTTCTGCCATTAATTATAAAGAAAATTTTATGCTGTATGCCATTGTTTATTTGTTCATTTTTAGTTTTTGTTTGTGCTGTTCGTTCTTCGACTTTGTAAAATTTGTCTGCTACTTCTGATTGTCATTGAATTTCAGGAATCATATTAATATTTTAAGTGTCCTTGAATAGACATGAACCAAAATAGAATGAGGATGCCAATTGAGTTAAATGAATCTTTTGTCAAAGATTGACTACTGAATTAATCTGGTTTGTGTATTTGTCAGAAGAGTGAAGTGTTTAAGTTATATACACCGTCAACGTAACGAATTTCTACACTTTCGATGTAATGAATTTCTACATTATCCGGACATCAGTATCACCTGCTGCAATTGGTTAGTATATTAGTTACTATACATTTGCAGCAGATGTCTGAAGCAGGATTCTGAATCTCAGTAGCAATCAATATATATTTCAAGTACTTATTGAACCAAATGATTGAATTTCAGATTGTGACTTACATTTGAAATATGACTTATTGTGATCTTTAATGCATAGTGCACACTGAGATCTAGTTTCAACCTTCAGGATGAAGTTTGTCTCATATTATATTGAAGAGTCAAATATATTTCGTGCTAAATTTTCCATTGTTTTTTTTTGTGTGTGAGATTTTTGGAGAAGGTCAATTAATATGAACTCTTTGTTGTGTTTGAGTCTGATTCTGACTAAGTTTAGCGAAATCTAATTGCAAAACAATTACTGATTTATGGATGCTTTCTTTGTCATATTCTTCACTATGAGTATATTATGTTTACAAGGTCAGATCCAGAATTTGAATTTTATAGGGTTTGGGTTCTAATTCTACTACGACTTTTAAGTGTTAGTAATCAGATATTAAATTTAGAATTTGTACATATTTAATAAATTTCATAATGAAAATACATAATTTAAGATAAATTTTGGATTCGGCCAAATACGGAACTTGCCTTTTTATGTTTAGAGTATCTTTGCCTTCTTTTTTTGCTTTCCCCTCCCACTTTCAAAATGGTATTTGATGATTGTTGCATTAAGAATTCAGCTAAACTGAGAATAGTCAGAAAACCTTGACGTTTGTCAAATTTGTTTCTATAAACGAAGTTTTTTCTTTTCAAAATTTTTAGTTCTTTCTCAAAGTTTTTTGAGAAAGTATTTTTTAGTTACGATAACTTTGAGCAACGGTGCAGGATCAAAGGATTTTTTCAAATAAATCTTCTAATTGCAAAACATTAGAGAATTGTACCTTTTTGTGTCGGTTATAAAGAACAATCTCTTACCAAAAGCTTAGTTCAATAATATTACTCACTGATAAAGCACAATATCTCATAATTTTCTATTTGAATATGAACATCATAACATCGAATAGGAATGAAACAAGTATAGTTGTTACATAAACTATTGGGTGGATTATAGTGAAGAAGTCTAAGGCCTAAACTTTTATGAACTTTTAATTTCAAAAGAAAAAAAAGACTAAAATTACCTATACACTTTTTTCTTTTCAAAATGCATTTTCAGAATTGTAACTTTAATAATTATTCTCAGGTTTCAACTTCTTTTAACCTATGTGGAAATTCAGTAATCCCTCCGGTCCACAATAAGTGATTTTTTGGCCTTCTTTTTGTGGTCCAAAATAAGTGATTTTTTCAGATTTCAAGAATGAATTAATTTTTTTTTTTTATTACATTGCCCTTGGAGTAAATAATGTTGGAGTATGTGTTAGGAGTGTTTATGTGAGAGATAGTAAAGGTTAATATGGTCAATTTTATTGCTAATTAATGTTAAAATGTGAATTTATTAATTTGTGTGAAAATATCTAAAAAATCACTTATTGTGGACCGGAGGGAGTAATAAATTTTCTTTTTAAACCAAAGTATACTTCGTTCGCCCATGGTTGGTATATTTATGCTACTTAGATCTTCTCGTCCTATTGGCCTTGCTGTCACAACCCGCATTTTGGGGTTGTGACTTCATTCGGAACCTCTGAGAAAAGACTCTTCCGATTGTCTAACGTAGACTTGTCTACTCAGGTAACTTGGGCCTTTTAATTTTAAGCATATATAAGAGGGTATAGGTGTTGAAAGCTCAACCTCCCTCCCCCATACGTGCTGCCACCAAGCCGTATTTAATGAGCGACCTTGAGAGGAACCTCAAGGGCCTGCCTGGATGATTTAGAGGAGTGTCCTAGGTATCCATACGAGTTAGGGAACTCTATGGACGACGCGATGCCTTTGGGCTAGTGTTGGGCACCAAACGGGCGCTGGAGGCTCGACGTGTGGGACGGTCTACCCCGCGGGGCTACCGAAATGTTGGACAGCGACCTCCATGCCGATTGGATACTTGATGCACCTATCTTAGAGGCATCATGTCTAGACTTGTAAGCATGGCTTGGGTTTAGCCATGCGAGTAAGGGTCCGTTGGCCTAAGCGTGCACTTGTGGGGCGACACTACACTAGACGTGATAGAAGTGTGTCGCGAGGGCTATGTATGGGCATGGCGCGAAAGACGTACATGACAATGGCTAAGGACTAAAGATTGCCTTATTCGGGCGAGACGCAAGCTGGGTGCGGATGCACGAGGCGAGTGTCAAGCTTGAGGATTGGGTTGTGCACGCGAGAGCGATGTTTAGTCTTGGGCGAAGGACAAGACATGTCCTTTGCTAACCCCGATGGTGCGCATGGATTATGATCCCAAGACGAGAAGCGCAACAACATGTCGAGGCCAAGAGCCTAGACATCTTACGGGCGACACAAGTTGGAGCATGCCTTCCAGGCAGGCTTCACCATAGGCACATGATCGTACTTGAAAACCTGGGAAAGGAGAAAGGCTGGCCTGTAGCGAGGGGAACTGTAGGCGCCGCACGGGCAATTCGGTGCCGCTAACGAGCCCGTGACATTACGCTTTATTATTCCAAGAGTTTTGCACTTGTTAGCATCAAGTGTAAAGTGTTATTTTTTAATGTTCTTAGAAAATAATGAGAATTAGAACTTGATCAGTAATTTGATATATTGCTTTTTTGACATATTTAACCATGATATTGGAGTCAGCTTGTGCGCACCTTGTTTAATTCGTATCGAGTAACTTCATCCACTAAAGTTTGAAGATAAAGCTATAGTAGTATTTTTTTTCTTTTGTCTTGGTTCAGATTTAAACCTAGAATTTCATGACTTTCAAGTTTTAACCCTCTTCATTGTTCATTAGCCAAACACTTGATGTCATTTTAATAAACGTGAACACAAAATTTTCCCTTTAACCTCTTTTCTTTCCATATATTTGGTTGAAAATTTTAATTTTAACATCTCAATTCACGAATTTTGTAAGTCAAAAGTTTTATTAGTATAGTAATTTCTAAAAACAGTTTAGCCATTGACCAATATGCCCGAAAGTTTTGCCCTATTTACACAGACCCTTCAATTAGAAAATAGCTTTGAGCATAGCCTTAGAAATGAAGAAGAATGAGGCAACAGAGAGATTGGGATTTTCTGTGAAAAGGGTGGTTGCCCCTCTCTGATATGCCTGTGATTTCTCCATTAAAAATCAACAGCCCTTTCAATTAAACCAAAAAAACAAACAAAAAAAAATCATCCAAACACACCCCTAATATATATTCCTCTTCTTCTTCCTCCTCTCTTTGTGCTGCTGCTATTGAATATTGATGTATTTAAAGGGGCTGTGATGATTGTTTTCCCTTTTCTGGGCTATGTTCAATTCATGGCATTGAGAAAATATCCGACCCGTATCTTGGCGGGGCGACCCGGTGCGGCTTTTCGATAGCTTATTGTGTCTGCAGCCATGGCGGCGTCGCCTTCTCTTTTGCTTTGACAAAAAATACAGCAAATCTGAGCCCTCACGAAAAGTCCCGTGTAATAGCCTGTTTGGCCGTGCTTCTAAAATCAGCTTATCAGATTTAAGAAACTAACACTTGATCTTTTGAGAACTCTATCCTCTCCAGATCTTCTTTAAAAGGGTGGTTTCACCCCTGATTTTCCTCCATTGTTTTAAAAAAAAAAAGAACCAACAGCCCTTGTTTATGTCTTTAATGCGAAAACAGAAGCAACAAAAATGATTTAAGTTATATATATTGACATCTATGTTTGGAAACAGCCTCTTTTAGTTGCACAAGTTAGGGGTAAGGTTGCGCACTCACTGCCCTCACTACCCTCCCACACCCTACTTGTTGGATTACACTTGGTTTGTTGTTGTTGTTAGTGTTGTATATTGACATCTCTGTCTTTCCTCTAGGTGTTCTTTTACAGTGTTGATAAGGTACATAAAGTGGCAGTGATGATGATGTTTCTATATCTCGGCTAATAGATTTGGGCATTGAGATAACCCAGCCCGTAACATGGCGTGGCAACCTGGTATGGCCTGTGATTGAGAGTTTTGAATCTTCTCTCACATGCAACCAGTGTTTTGCAGCCATGGCTTTGTTGGTTTCTCTTTTGCCTTATCATAACACACATCTGAGCCCCATTTGCTTGAAAGTACAAAAAACACAATCTTTCCATCATTTCATGTTGGCATATGTCGGACCTGTGAGTCTGTGACCTACTGCCCAACTATTAGATTGCAAACCCAGTAACTCAAATGGGTTGTGGTAGAACTCAAAAACAACCCAAAATTATATTCATGTCTAAACACAACTCTAATTTTCAAATACTATTTTCACTTAGAAAAAAAAGTTCACTCTTTTTTTTTTTGGAATTTTACAATTCTTATGTCCAAACGCCCACTTACATGATATGTATGAAAGAGTCAACATTTTCTGAAAGAGGCAGTTGTTGTACTGGGCATGGCATTGAGAAGATACTCTACCCGTATCTTGGCAAGGCGAACCAGTATGGCATTTGCATAGCAAACTGGTGTCTGCAGCCATGGCGACGTCGCCTTCTCTTTTGCTTTGTTCAAAAACAGTAAATCTGAGCCCTCAATGCCCAAACATAGAGAAAGTCAGCTCATAGAATGAGGCATAAATGAGAAATAGGATTTATTTATTTATTTATTTATGCATTCGCCCAGTTTTGCTGGTAAGCCCATGATTTCTTGCTGAAAGCAATTAACAGCGCTTAGTTCTTTCTGTAAATCTAGCTTCGAGCCCATGATTTCTTGCTGAAAGCAATTAACAGCGCATAGTTCTTTCTGTAAATCTAGCTTCGAGATATGCATGTTGTTGTTGAACTGCTGTTCCTGTTGCTGCTGCTGCTACCGTTCTTTTGTTCTCGTTGCTATGTGGCTGTGTTAACACCCAAACAGCGAGGATCATAGGTAAAAGTGAAATTTTGAGGCAGCGATGATATGATTCTTGGCAAATGGCATTATTGATTTGCATTGAGATGGTATAACTCGTATCTTGGCAGGGCAATCAGGAGGAGATTGCAGCCATGGCGGTTTTGAGAAACTCAATGCCTAATCATAGTGAGATATGAGCCTCATATGAAAATAGCAAAAATCTGATTAGCTTAAGTCTGAGGCTGCTGTGAAAGCAGAGGGCTGTGGGGAGCTTCAATTGATGGTTTTGCCCCTCTTTGTCATTCTCTGATGCCAATGATCACTCAAATGAAAAAAAATTCCGATTCCAAAATCAACCAGCCTTTTGGTGAAAATACATATAACTTCTCTATTTTCCTTTCTTGTTATGCATTCTGTTTCATTTTATGTGATGCAACGAGGCTATGGAGATTTTGTTGTTCTGTGAAAGATGAATCAAGACATATTTCTATTGAGCTGGAAAAAAATTGCAGCTCAGATGGGTCTGTGAGATATTGGAAAATATTCCACTTTTTGGTGCTTCTTCTGTGTCTTGTAAGGCTAACTGATGCTTGCAGCCATGGCGGTTTTACCAAAGCTCTTTTGGTTTCTGTCAGAACTTTGAGTTTGGTTTTTGGTTTTCGCTCTTCTCCTTGGTTTTACCCCGTTAATCTGAGCTTACCCGAAAGCTTTCACTAATGACTTGGTCCTAATTCCTAAAGAAAGAAAGAGAAATATATACAAGAAATAATTTATATTTACAGCTTTCAGGATAGTATAAAAAGAACTGTTATGGAGATGTAACAAAGCGAAAGCTCAGGAGAACGAGAATGAGGCTTCAGAGAATTTAGGATTTTCTGTTGAAAGGATGGTTGCCTCTCTCTGTATTAGCCCATGATTTCTCCATTATTGTAACAATCCCAACAACCCTGTAAAAATTTCATGGAATGGCCAGTTTTCACCTTGCTATTTAAGGTATGTCCAGTTTTTTCAAAGTATTTAACTTGTAGCCCGTGTTGGTGAGTATGATTGACTGCTTGAAAGAGGCGATGATGATTTTTTTTCAATCTTCTATTCCCTTCCGAGCTTATCAATTGGGCATTTGTGATGATTTGACTCGTATCTTGGCAGGGCATGCCCCCAGTTTTGTGGTGGTTTTTTGCAGCCATGGCGCCGTTGGATCTCCTTTTGCTTGACTTATAACACAGATCTGAGCCTCAAAACCGTAATCGGATCTACCCGGTTGGACCGAAACAGGGGTGATTTGCACAAATAGGATGCTTTGAGGTCACTATTTATATGCTGCATAAGTTTTTTGCAAATCTCATTAGGCTGCGGTGAAAGCAGAGAGCTGTGGGGAGTTTCAATGGGTGGTTTTGCCCCTATGTCATTCTGCGCTGCCAATGATCACTCCAATGAAAAACTTTTCCGATTGCAAAACCACCCTTTTGGTGACAATACGTATGACCTTTACTAGTTTCCTTTTCTTGTTACTCCCTCGGTTTCATTTTATGTGCGATGAGGCTATGAAGATTTTGTTTTCTGTGGAATATGAATAAGATATCTTTCTATTACATCAACAGCAATATACCAAGTAAAATCTCACAAGTGGAGATTGGGGAGGGTAGTGTGTGCGCAGACCTTAACCCTACCCTTGTGAAGATAGAAAAGCTGTTTCCGATAGAGTTGTAAAAAATAAAATTTGAGATTCTCCGAACCGTATCTTGGCGTGGCATGCCCCCAGATTTCTGTTGGTTTATGCAGCCATGGCGTCTTCGGATCTCTTTTTGCATCTGTCGAGATGAAGTCTCAATGACAATTCATGACAAGTTTGAGGGGCTATCTATGTATTCTGCCTATCTGAAATAACAATACAATACAATGGTAACAACCATCCAAATAAGCTGTTATTAGTCTATTTGGTTTAGAGACAAAGAGTGAGGGTTGCAGAGAGTAGAGGGAATCTCAAAGGCAGCTGCTCCTCACTACAATACCTGTGATTTCATTTTTGCCAAAAAATGCCCTACTGTGGTGAACTGTATCCAAACGACCCCTCTACTCTATCTCCTAATCCTCACTCCCAAAAAGAGAATCTATAGTAATAGTAATAATAATAATAATAATAATAATAATTGTAGAATAAATCTGAGGCTGTGATGATATTTTTTCTTCTGTCTCTGAGCAAATCGATTAGGGAAGAGAACAATTGGACCCGTATCTTGGCATGGTAAATGATTTTCCAACCAGTGTTTGCAGCCATGGCGGTGTATCCAATTTCTTGCCCTAGCTTCAATGTAACAGATCTGAGCCTCATTTGGAAGGTTATTTTCTTAGATGCAGACTTAAGAAAAGCTTAGCCCAGAAAGAAATGAGGCAAAACAGAGAGTTTTGAGATTTTCATTAAAAGGGTGGTTGCTCGTCTCTGTTCCGCCATTGATTTTCCTCCATTATCAAAAAAACCAACAGCCCTTTGTTTATGTCAAAAGCAGACTGGTAAAGTTGTTGTCATATGACCAGGAGGTCATGAGTTCGAGTGGTAGAAACAACATCTTGCAGAAATGCAGGGTAAGATTGCGCACAACAGGAGTTAGGGCACCGTGTTGCCCTTAAAGAGGCAGTGATGATGATGTTTCTTAAAGAGGCAACGGCCCGTATCTTGGCATGGCAACCCGGTATGGCCTGCGGTTGAGATTTCTGTCTCACACACATACCATGGCGTGGCTGGCTTCTCTTTTGCCTTATCATAACACACATCCGGGCCCCATGTGACGACTTGCAACCGGTATTTGCAGCCATGGCGGTGTCTCCAATCTCTTGCCATAGCTTTAATATTACAGATCTGAGCCTCAATTGGAAGGTTATTTTCTTAAGTGCAAACTTACAGGCTCTTTCCCATTGAATGTTGAAATTCGCAGGTGAAAAACCCACGAGAATTTCCCCTAAATATGCAGAAATGTTAGCCCAGAAAGAAATGAGGCAAAACAGAGAGTATTGGGATTTTCATTAGAAGGATGGTTGCCCCTCTCTGTTCCGCTATTGATTTTCCTCCATTTTCAAAAAATACCAACAGCCCTTGTTTATGACAAGCAGAAGCAGAACGTTTGGACATAAAAATTGTAAAATTTCTGAATAAAGAATTTTTTTCAGTGAAATCTGTATTTTCATTTTGTGTGTGTTTATGATGCTGATGGAAGTTACATAAAGAGGCAGTGATGATGATGTTTCTTGTATCTGGGTTAACCGATTTGGGCGTAGAGATGACCGGACCCATATCTTGGCGTGGCAACCCGGTATGACCTGTGATTGAGATTTCTGTCTCTCACTTGCAACTGGTGTTTTGCAGCCATGGCATAGCTGGCTTCTCTTTGCCTTATCATAACATATCTGAGCCCCATTTGCAAGAAAGGAAAAAAAGATAATCTTTTCTATGATTTGGATTAACAGAAAAATAGGAAGGGAGTCTTGGAGTAACAATAAAGTTCTCCTCGTGTTCGAGACTTATCGGTCACGAGTTCGAGCTGTGATAGCTACTGATGCTTGCATTAGGGTCGCGAACTTGGGTTGTCTTGTGCACCGGGCTGCCTTGGATTAGCAGGAAAATAGCAAAAAACTCATTCGTTAGTCTGAAGTTGCGGTCAAGGCAGAGAGCTGTAGGGAGTTTCATTGGGTGGTTTTGCCCCTCTCTATAATTGTCCGCCGCCGTTGATCGCTCAAATGTTTGTTTCTAAAACCACCCTTTCGGTTAAAATACGTATTACTCCCTCCCTTTCAATTTATGTGACGCAATGAGGCTATGAAGGAAGGGGAGCCTTGGCGTAGCTTATAAAGTTGCTGCCATGTGACCATGAGGTCACGAGTCCAAACCGTGGAAACAACCTCTTGCAGAAATGCAGGGTAAGACTGCGTGCAAATAAACCCTTGTGGTCCGGCCCTTTCCCGGACCCCGGGCATAGCGGGAGCTAAGTGCACCGGTTTGCCTTGAATGAGGCTATGAAGATTTTATTCTTCTGTGGAAGATGAATCAGACTTATAAATCTATTGAGCTGGGAAAATTTTGTAATCTTGGAGTGGCAGCTCTCATATGGGTCTTTGAGATAGTGGAGAAAAATCCATTTTTCTGTGTGTGTTTTTCCTGTTTTATAAGACTAACTGATGCTTGCAGCCATGACGGTCTTTTTCCAAAGCTTTTTGGGTTTTTGTCTGAGAAAAGGAAAAGAATGAGAACAGAGAGATTGGGATTTTCTGTAAAAGGGTGGTTGCCCCTCTCTGTTATGCCTACAATTTCTCCATTGTTAAATCAACAGCCCTTTGAATTAGACCCCAAAAAAAAAAAAATCATCAAATATGGTGGTGTATAGCAAACTGGTGTCTGCAGCTATGGTGGCGTCGCCTTCTCATTTGCTTTGACAAAAAATACAGCAAATGTGAGCCCTCACGAAAAGGCCCGTGTAATAGCGTGTTTGGCCATGCTTCCAAATCAGCTTATTTTGTAATAGCCTGTTTGGCCGTGCTTCCAAAATCAACTTATCAGCTTTAAGAAATTAACCCTTATTTTTTGAGACCTCACAAGTATGCAATTATGAGAAGGGAAAAGGTTAGCCTGAAGTATTAAAGAAATGAGGCAAAAACAGAGAGTTTGGGGCTTACTTTGAAAGGGTGGTTACCCCTCTCTGTTTCACCATTGATTTTCCTCCACTTTAAAAAAAAGAAGAAAGAACCAACAGCCCTTGTTTATGTCTTTATGACAAAAGCAGAAGCAGCAGAAATAATTTTTGCCGAAAAAAACCCGCTTTCTTAAGGCTTCAAACTACTAGTCATTAAGACTACTTACTTTTCTTGACTTGGCCTGCGTGCATTATACCTAACCTTTTAACTTGATTTCAATCTCAACAAAGAAATGAAAGCATAACTCTTTGCTCGCTTGCAGCGCTTCTTAGTCTTTTATTTTAGCCTGCCTTGTGAAGATCTCTCGGGTGTCTACGGCAGATCCGATCAGTCTCGTGATGAAGAGAAGTCTTTTCCGATGTTGAAAGGTATCGTCACGACAACTCAATTTGTCCGGTAAACTTAATATATACTGACATCTCTGTTTGGAAACAGCCTCTTTACCTGCAATAGTAGGGTTAAGGCTGCGTACTCAATGTCCTACCCAGACCACACTTTTGAGATTATACTGGTTTTTTGTTGTTGTTGTTGTTGCATACTGACATCTCTGTCTTTCCTCTGTGTTCTTTTACAATATTGATGGAAGGTACATAAAGTGGCAGGGCTAACCAATTTGGGCATTGAGATGAGGCTATGAGCCGGCCCGTATCTTGGCGTGGCAACCCGGGATAGCCTGTGTGGAGAGTTTTGAATCTTCTCTCACACATGCAACTGGTGTTTTGCAGCCATGGCGTTGTTGGTTTCTCTTTTGCCTTATAATAACAAACATCTAAGCCGCATTTGCTTGAAAGTACAAAAATAGAATCTTTTCCATGATTCATTGTTAGGATATATCGAACCTGCGACCTTCTGCCACAACTATAAATTAGAATTTGAGATTATCCGGGCCTTATCTTGGCAGGGCATGCCCCCAGATTTCTGGTGGTTTATGCAGCCATGGCGTCTTCGGATCTCTTTTTGCATCTGTCGAGTTGAAGTGTCTCAATGACGATTCATGACAAGTTTGAGGGGCTATCTATGTATTCTACAATACAATACAATACAATATAATGGAAACAACCATCCAAACAAGTTGTTATTAGTCTATTTGGTTTAGAGACAAGCTATGCCAGTTGTGGTGAATGTGATTGATGGCTTGAAAGTGGCGATGATGATTTTGTAACTGTTTCATTCCATTTTGATCGAGCTTATTAATTAGGCATTTGAGATTATCTGACCCGTATTTTGGCGGGGCATGCTTCAGGTTTCCCTTGGTGGTATTTGCAGCCATGGCGGCGTCAAACTCTTTTTGCTTGAGTTATAACACAGATCTGAGCCTCAAAAAGGAAACACAAAATTGGTGATAATCTCATAAGTTTAAGTCTAAGGCTGTGGTGAAAGCAGAGAGCTCGGAGTTTTTATGGGTGGTTTTGACCCTGTCTTTTTCTGCTGCCAATGATCTGTCAAATGAAAAATTCTCCAATTGCATAACCACCCTTTTGGTGAAATTTCAGTTGACCTCCCTCTTTTCCTTTTCTAGTAACTCCTTCCGCTTCATTTTATGTGCGATGAGGCTATGAAGATCTTGTTTTTCTGTGGAGGATGAATCAGATGTATCTTTCTAATGAGCTGACAAAATATGTATCTTGGCGTGGCAGCTCAGATGGGTCTTTGAGATATTTGGAAAAATTCGATCTTTTTGGTTTTTCTTCTGCGTCTCACAAGACTAACTGATGCTTGCAGCTATGGCAGTTTTTCAAAGCTTTTTGTTATTTGTCTGAGAAAAGGCAAATCTGAGCCTTCTACATTACCTTGATTTTATTAAAAGAATGAGGCTTTTAGATTCAGGAAATGAAGGAGTTCCTAAGGGTGGTTTCTCTGTTCACTTTGAGTTGATACATATCTTGGCTTGACAAAGTTTTGTCGAATTTGTGAGTTGGTTTTATTTTCTGTTACAGTAAGCCATCTGCCTTTGGTAGCCATGCTGGACTTGCTCATTTTCTGATTGTTTTTGGACAAATCTGAGCCTCATTTCCGTTAACTTTGAATTCATTCTACAATCTATCTGCTCTTATTATGTTCTTTTTAATGTTTTGAATTCTCTAACATTCTCATCATGACCTCCTCCATAAATCTGGAAAAATCCCAATTTCAAAAAGAAGTGTCATTTAGTCATCAAATTTGGTTATGCATGTTGAGAACCCAAATTACTGAGGCAGTTAATATTTTTGATGTTTAAAAGACTGAAACATTATTTTTGAACTAATTCCTTGACCTGGCTCGGCAAATATTATTCTGAAATATTAGTAGTTGAACAGGAAATGGGGATGACAGCAGAACTGTCACAACCGCAACCGACCTACAAATTCTCTGTTTATGGAATTCTAGGTATTGATGTGAATGCTAACTGTCTATTTTTGAGTTACTATATTTTGCTAAAGATGAACTTTCTCATACCTTATTCTATTTTTTCCATTTTTGAACTCTCTGTAATGAATTTCTCCTTCATTGATATGAGTGAGCCGAAAAATGTTTTCTTTTGATGAGAATTCTAGGAATGCAAAGGCTAACATCTATTTTTGAGTTTCTTTATTGATAAATATGTTCCTTTTTTTTGACAGTCCTATTTTTCCCAGTTTTTTTTAACTTTGTAATGAATGCGAATGTGAATGCTCTGAGATGGGTGTCTTAATGGTTTCTCTTTGTCTAGAATCATAAGCATCATTGCCAGGGGCGGACCCACATGGAGTCAAGAGGGTTCATATGAACCCACTTCGTCGAAAAATAATACTGTGTATGTAATTTCTGTCTTCGAAAACGTAATGGTATAAAACTTATTTTGAACCCACTTTAAACAAGTAAATTGCCTAGCCTGCTGGTAAAGAGGGTTCAAATGTGTTCAAATTTTTCACATGGTCCTGAGTTCGAAACCAGTTAGTTGCATATGTCCTCTATTTTTGAGTTTTTTAATGTCTCTTTTCCCATAAAAACGACATCGTTTATGTCTTTTTAAAATATCCCCCAATTCTCCAAATCAGAAAACGATCAGAATCTTTAATCCCAAGCCCTTCAGTGCCTCTCTCTCTCAATTTCAAAGAGAATCGCTTCCATAGTCACCACTCACCTCCTCTGTTAGCCCCTGCCGAGAAGGTCATTTCCCTCAAAGACAAAGCGCTTCATCTTGGTATCTAACTAAAAGTTGAGGTGATCAATAACAATAAGAACCAATTCTAGTTTTCAAATTTCTAGTATTTATTCCTCTTTTGCATAAAGATTTAATCCCAATAAATTTCTTTCACCTCTATGTGCTTTCTTCTCTTTGTTGTAGTTCAATTTAAAAAAACATTGCTTCATAGTCGTCTCCTCCAGTAGCCATAAGCCACTGCCGCTTCTCGAATCTCGTTGGTTCGCCTCTCTCCGTCTCTCGCCGTCAGCCCGTCAATTGTCACTATCAGGTTTCTCACTTGCTTATATTGCAGATTTTTGTAATTTATGCTTTGGAAAAAATTTCAGATTGTTTTAATGGGTTTTGGCTAAGAAACTCAATTTCAATTTGAGTTATACTGTGTTAAATGTTTTTTTTAATATAATTTTTAATCTTAATGGAAAATAGGGAAAGGTGAGAAATTGAGAGTAATAAACTTGCTTATATTGAGAAGTTAAGCACCTTTTCTCCTTAGTTATGGAAAATCTCAGATTGTTGTTGATTTTAAGTGAGAAATTCTTTTTCAGTTTGAATATACGTATACGTACACATGATATTTTTTTGGGTGTGTGTACTTTTGATATGGTCATATGGAATGGAAATCAGTAATGTTTCCTTGATGCAGTCAAGGACATTTTCCTTGGCTCGTTGTTGAATCAACAGATTTCCCTTTATAAAATAATATTTAGCATGCAATCGTATTTTCTAGGACTGAAGTTCCAAAATCTAGGAAGATCACCTTTGCTGTTATCCATGAATGAAAGTTTCATTGCAATAGTTCTGTAATCTGATGAGTGATCGTTACTTGGGTTGTCTTTGACCACGTTATTTCTTCTAGTTTAAATTTAAGGTTAAACATATACAAAATTATTCTTCTAATTCCAATTCTACTTTGGTAATCTAGTTTGTTTTACAATGAAGAGATTTTACCCTCCAGTATCTTCCAAGTTGCCACAACCAAGTTTATCATCTCCAATTGCTACTCCCGTGGAACAAAATTTGAACCAATTAGAAGAGCAATCTCAATCCTCTAAAAGACAAAGACAAGGAATAGATCTTGATTCTTTACCGGCTGATCCAATGGAGAGAATACCCATTAGAGATTATCATCCAAATGAGCGTGATGAGATTAGAAAAGAATATCTCCGAAGAGGTCCTTACCAACCCCGATATCATAAGTTTCCTCAAAGAGATTTTTCGGACTTAAAGCGTCGTTTCAATCCTAAATGGTTTGATGAATTTCGTAATTGTTTGTAGTACAGTATGATAGAAGATGCAGCTTATTGTTTGTGTTGTTACTTGTTTCAAGATGATGACATTCATCAAGGTGGAGGCGTGGAGGCGATGTATTTTCAAGTTTAGGATTTAAGAGTTGGAAAAAAAAGAAGAGATTCGATATTCATGTTAGTAAGTCGAGCAGTATTCATAATCATGCAAAAAGGAAATGTGAAGATCTATTAAAACAAAAACAGTCAATTCAAACTTCATTTGATAGGCAATCCAGTCAAACCAAGCTCGAATACAAAATTCGCTTGAAGGCTTCAATTGAGGTTGTGAGACTCCTATTGAATCAAGGATTGGCATTCCGTGGACATCGTGAAGATGAATTATCATTAAACAAGGGTAACTTTCTTGAGATTCTTTCATGGTATGCAGAGAGGTGCGATAAAATCCGTGATCTTGTGTTGAAAAAGGCTCCAAAGAATGATCAATTGACCTCTCATAAAATTCAGAAAGACATTATCATTGCATGTAAAATTGAAACAGTTAAAGCAATTATGGACGATCTAAATGGAGACTTTTTTGCATTGCTAGTTGATGAATCATGTGTTGTATCACGCAAAGAGCAATTAGCTATTGTCTTGCGATATGTTAATAGATGTGGATTTGTGGTGGAGCATTTTATTGGGATCGTTCATGTTCGTAATACTAGTGCTTTATGTTTAAAGGAAGCAATTGTTGATTACCTTGCTCAACATTCTTTGAGTTTATCTTATGTGTGTGGACAATGCTATGATGGAGCAAGCAACATGCAAGGGGATTTACGTGGCCTTAAGACTTTGATTCAACAAGAAAGTAAATCTGCTTATTCCATTCATTGTTTTGCACACCAACTTCAATTGACACTTGTTGCGGTATCCAAAAAGTGTCTTGAAGTGGGAGAACTTGTATTGTTGGTTTCTAATGTATTGAATATAGTGGGAGGTTCTTTTAAACGTATGGATGATCTTCGAGAATCTCAAGCAGAAAAAGTTCAAGAGGCATTAGACATGGGTGAACTTGAAACTGGTAGGGGTTTGAATCAAGAACTTGGTCTTGCCAGAGCTGCAGATACTCGTTGGGGTTCGCACTACAAATCTTTTAAGAACTTTATTTCTATGTTTGGCTCAATTATTGATGTTCTTGATACTATCGTTGTTGATGCCCGGACTTTAGAAGAAAGAGCTAAGGCAAAGGGATATCTTAGCACTTGTCAAACATTTGAGGTTGCTTTCATGTTGCACCTAATGAGAGATGTTTTGGGGATCACAAATGAGCTTAATACATCCTTACAAAAAAAGGAGCAAGATATTGCAAATGCTATTCTACTTGTTGAAGTGGCAAAGAAACGGTTGCAAAAGCTAAGAGAAGAAGAATGTGATTCACTTATTGATAAGGTGTCTGCATTTTGTGTCAAGTATAATATTTTGATACCAAACTTTGATGACTTCTATGTTAACTTTGGAAGATCTCGACGTAAAGTTGCTGATTATACTATTTTACATCACTATCGTGCTGATATATTTTTTAAGATTATTGATTGGCAAGTTCAAGAACTCAATACTCGTTTTAATGAGGTGACAACGAACTTGCTTGTTGGAGTAGCTTGCTTAAATCTAGTTGATTCATTTTTCAGTTTTGACATAAACAAGATATTGATGATGGCTGAATTGTATCCTGACGATTTTGATGAGAATATAATGGTTACGCTCAAGAATCAACTTGAAACTTATATTGTTGATATTCGTGATGTTGATGAAAGGTTCTCAAATCTACAAGGACTTGTTGATCTTTCTGAAACACTAGTTAAAACAAAGAAGCATTTGAATTATCCAAGCGGTTGTTTGGTACCTTATGTAGAAAGAAAAATATTTAACACCATTTCTGATGAGACTATTATACGTTTCAGGAAACGAAAACTCGTAGAGGACAGTTGTAATAATATATTTTATTAATATATAGTTTTTGTTGACCTCTTTGTATATTTGCTTTTTTGTATTTTGAACCCGCTTGATAAAAATCCTGGGTCCGCCACTGATCATGGCTAAAGAAGTACTTTTCGATACTTTAACCCTTATTTTCTCTGTTTTGGAACTCTCTGTAAAGAATCACAATGCTGCCTCTTTGATACGGGTAATTTATTTCCTTTTGTCTATAAATAGTAGCATGTGAATACTGACGTCTATGTTTGAGTTGCTTTGTCGCTGAGATGTTTTATTGGATTTATACTTGTTGAATTCCATAATTTCGTCATCATTACCTGTACTTTGAACTGTAATATACTGTACTTTGAAAATAATGTAATACTACTGAATCAATTTATGCAGGAACTCTGTGGTTGCTGTTGTCAGAATACAAGCAAAAAGCTAAATTTTGCATCTCTTGGTAATTTTATGTTAACCCGCTATTTTTTTTTTTTTGAGATTGTATAGCACTAGCACTTGTTTCCTTTTATGGGTATGATGTTATGCAAACTGGAAATTTGTACAAGAATATGGAGAAAGATTGAGAGGGGTGTCGCATTCCCTACTTGCATTTCTATTTAAAAACAATGTTTTTCACTTTTCACCGTTGGTCTGCGACGAGTTACTGGAGGGAGGGGTAAAGATGTAAGCTATCATGAGGCTCTAATATACACATACAAATATAATTTGTTTGTCAACTATTCAACTAAAATGGCAATATAATGGGAAAATGTGATTTATTATTTGTGTACATGGGTTCATTCCCTCGGATTTAGTTCTCTAAATGTATTGTCTTGCTATTACTTGCTATCGGTACTTCTTTCATATTATGTATTGCCATCTTCGATTTAGTTTTCTAAATATATTGTCTTGCTATCAGCGCTTATTCCATTTTCTTTAGCCAAGTTTCTATCAGAAACAGTCTCTTTGCACTTCCAGGGTAGGGGGATGAAGCTGTGTGCATCCTACCTTCCCCAGACCCTACTTGTGGGATTACACTATGCTATTGTTGTTTTACATGGGTTCATTGCAGTAGTTCACATGCACTTTGTGATTGACTAAACAAGAAGTCATAAATCTTGCTCTTTTCCTTCAATTAAATTCGTTTATTCTGTGCATGAAGGAATATATGTGTTATCCTAGGGTTTCTTTTTTCTTGATGAATTATCTCATACTTTGTTATGATGTAGATAACAAGAGATATAATACTTATCAAAAAAAAAAAAGAGATATTACGTGAGCACCGAAGGGTATTGGCATAGTTGTCAATAAAATGGGTACAAAGCTTTCAGACCATGGTTAAATCCTAGTTGAGAAAAAAAAGACGCCCGATGATTTCTTCTTATTTTTGTATGCCTTGATGGGCTACAGTTACCCAGTATCTGTATTGGTGAGAGGCAAGAAGGAATCCAGTAGAATAGTGGAGATGTGTGCAAGTTGGTTCAGTACAACCATTTTAAAAAAGAAATACATGTCTTTTCTAAGCTGTTTTTAGCTGATCAATATTAGTTGATGAACTATTATATATGGTTCTAACTTCATGTGATTCTATCTTTTTCTTCCCCTTATTTTCTAGTTTTCTAGATTGCTAAGAAAGAGAGTTGCAATTTTCTTTTCACACTTTTCTGGCTATAGATGTTCTTCTGTTTTATAAATATGCTTTGGTCTAGTGTAACAATCTATGATGCGAGGTTAGGCGTACTTCATAATTCGACCTCAGTCGTAGAAACAAGTCTAGTATTTAAGTGGAGACGGGCAGAGGTGCTGGCCCATTAATTACTGAGTATCAAACCGTGTAACGTTGATCCTTCGGGATCTTTTATTTATCAACAAAATCTCTACTGTTCTTATGAATGATAATATTTCGAAATTTTTTGAATCGTAGTGGAACCATATGTTTAGCTGAAATAAATGTTATTACTACGAGTAATGTAACATTCTAGGTAAATATCACATTGAGAAGACTCAAAAGCAAATTTTAGACTCTAGTAACGCGTTTTATAGAAGTGTTAAAGAGTCTATCAAATGCGTAGTCCCTAAGGTGCGATATTTGCAACACCATAGGCAAAATACGAGAGATATGAAGTATACAAGGAAGCAAGCATTAGATTTTAATGACGCATTCTAAAGCCGTGCAAGCTTAGTTTTAATGCATGCAGACAATATTGATAATATCACTAGTGAATTGGGGTATTGCTGATTTTGTTAGTTGCATCGAACTAAAATATATTACTTACCTTTGATTGGGCGTAGATTACATTCTAATAATCAATTCTTAATATGCATTGGATAGGCTTATATGAATGATTTCATGGTAATAAGTGATTCCCACTGTCTTCTTCCCTTAGAGAGGCTTATTTTCCCGAGTTCTAAAATATATTTAGGAAATATTTTCCATCATACAAAATAGTAATCTGTATTGGTGCGTAGCTAATTTGAGGAAACATTTCCATTATGTATTGTTTGCTTTCTAATTTTACTGATTTTGTAATGCATAGCTTCCCATCTATCTACAATTATTATATCTTCTATTCATAGAATATAAATTCGTTTATTAATAAGGTGGTATAAGACTATCACGAAATTGATATCACCAACGAAATTAAAAAATTTAAACTATCATATTAATTTAACTTCTTGTATGAATTAAGGTGTTCGAATCTAGAAGCATAACTCCAAAGGATTTAGATTAAGATCTTCATTATTGTAGATTGGTTGCTAGAATTAGTTTATCTTACTTGCAATTTGATTATCATTTTAGTACTCATATATATTCAGTTATTTGTTAAAACTCTGCTTGATTCTACTTTAAATTATCATGTGCCTCGTTTCTCGCTTTTCGCTTCAATTTCAAGGACCTTATCTAATTTTATTTTTCCAAAGTTGAATCACATTCAGTTTATGTGCATTTAGAAGCAACGGAGCGCAAGCAAAGAAGGAGATTAACCGTTTTGTAATAAAAATAGGATTAAGGGCTAAATTTGATAACATTTGACTAATATAATTTTTATAGCATTTTAGCTCTAAACGGCCTAAATGGATTGTTATTTCGTTATTTAACTTCAAAATACGGATTTAAATTCAACGCCCACATTTATATGGGCAATTCCAGCTAGGCTTCAATTAATGAGCACATTTCATTAGCACATGTTCAAAAAACTATTAGTTCACGTAAAGTCCAACGACAACCTAATGTTGAGGTTTTATTTTAAGATGAATATTCTTAATTATTTTAAGATGAATATTCTTAAAATGAGGGTGAATGGGAAATGGAGGGAAAATGAAATTTTGAGTAAAATTTTAAGTTTCCCCCTCTTAACAATGAGACATTATCCCATATTGGAAGAGGAAGACATTTTTGGNTTTTAAGATGTAATATTCTTAAAATGAGGGTGAATGGGAAATGGAGGGAAAATGAAATTTTGAGTAAAATTTTAAGTTTCCCCCTCTTAACAATGAGACATTGTCCCATATTGGAAGTGGAAGACATTTTTGGTGGGTATATATATAATTGCTCTTCTTGTAGCTCTTAAAGAGTTAAGAAGAAAGCAAGCCTCGCGCCGTCGTCGTCGTCGCTCGCTCGGCTCGGCTACGGCTACGGCTTCGGATTTGGCTATGCATTTGCACTCCTTCCTCTCAGCATTTTCATACGATTTTCTGAGTTTATACTCCTTCGTTCTGCATTGTTTTTAACTTCAAACAAAGCAACTGTAAGTGTGATTTGCTACCGAACTTTGTGTTCGCTGAAACACTGGGGTTTGAAGTACCGCTACACCAGTGTGTTATTCGTTCTATCCTGGGAGGAAATAATCCATTACCTTGGGTACTAGNTTATTATTGTTTCATTACGTTAACTTATATTTTGCAGAATTAATATTTACAAATACAGCAATATTGGCGGGGAATAACAATCTTAAGGAATTTAATATTTATTTCTGTATTTGTGTTATTCTTATTATTCTGCAACACAAAACCTTTGTGGTTTTGTGTACTCCTGTTTTGGAGAGTTAAGCCTTAGTGGCGTTTTGTTGGATATTAAAATCTACGTGATTTTCACTCCAGTTTGAAAACGTGTATTAAACGTTTGTTTGTATCATTTTTTTACAGTAAAAAATGAT